CCTGTGACCATCTCCATTTCTGGAAACTCCCATGTATCTCTCTAGACTCCATCCCAGTTGAGAGCTTTTGTGAAGCTTTCTTTGACCACAACGGCTTTTCCTACTTTTGAACTCATAAAGTATTTATCTTCTGTGGGGAATTAGGAGGTAGAAATCCAGAGGGATTCCAAGAGCTTTCCTCGGTGGCCAGCGTGAGACCCACGAGAAACAAAGGCGTCAGGCCACGGGTACAGAACCAACTCCACGCGCAGCTTGCGGACCGTCTGCTGGGGAACGGCTCCTTGAGAGTTTCCCAGTGGCTTGTCATCTGGAGAAGTCACCTGTCCTTCCAAAAGTCAGCTCCATGATGTCTTATTCATCGGTGTCTCATAACAGAAAATGGTCTGCTTTTCTCATCCATAAATTAAGGCACAAAAGAGGCTGGCGGGTCCCTGGATGCATCAGCTGGTCTCCACGTGAGCAGCCGCTGTTTCCCTCTCTCCATGGATCTGACTCCAGCTGCTCCTACACATGCTCAGTTCAAATCAGACTGAGGCTTCCTCTCTGCAGACTGTGGACGGTTCTGAGCGGCGCTGCTGAAGACGCAGTGTCACCGGGAGGCTTCAAGCGCTCGTCTTTGTGGCACTAAACTCATGCTCTTGCTGTTCCTCAAGCTCACCTGCCTCCTGTCTTCACCATTCCTGGGGAATCCTTAAGTTCTTTACCTAGTGAATCCCACTCACACTTTAAACCTCAGCTGAGAGGTTGCCCTCTGTGAAGAAGCCCACCTCCAACCTCTCCAGACAGGGGTCATCGCCCAGTTCTCTCATCAACCCTTCATCGTTGAGCTGGTCACATAGCACAGACAGAAGTTCTCCTTCTCTCTCCCATCGCAAGACCGTAAGCGTCATGAGCTTGAGAATGATCATATGATGCCCGTGTCTGCCCACTGGGGTATATGACAACCAGCGCGTTCTGTTTAGTGAATTGATGAAAGAAAACATAAATAAATAAAGGAATGATGCAGTTTCTAACCAGACACCATCCGTCCCAGATTTCCCATCCAAGTGGTGCCTGTAACTTATTCATGGTAGGCGTGCGTTGGTGAGGAAGCACACAGGGCAGTAGAACTGTGTCTGCAAAAAGTGGTGTTGTTCTGTGTGTGTGCTCAATTGTGTCCAGCTGTCTGTGACCCCACAGACTGCAGCCCCACTAGGCTCCTCCGTCCATGGAATTTTCCAGGCAAGAATACTGGAGTGGGTTGCCATTTTCTAGTCCAGGGGATCTTCCCCACCCAAGGATCGAAGCTGCATCTCTCATGTTTCCTGCATTGGCAGTGAATTCTTTACCACTGTGCCACCTGAAAAAGTGGGGAAATACTTGTATCCAAAATAATAACTCCCCTAGGAAACATTAAGTCAAAGAAGTCTTGAGATATATATATATATATAGATAGATAGATAGATAGATAGATAGATAGATAGATAGATAGATATAGATATCTTGTATTCATCCTCCTGAACTCCTGTAGAGGTCAGATTTCCAATGAAATCTGAAAAGTGAAATTTTCTAAAAGTACCTGATTTTTATTTTACTAAGTGGCTATAATCCCAGGCCTGAAAAATATCAGATTCTGTAACCTCAGCTGCTCTTTGATGAAGCAGTCCCAAGATTTTTCACTCTGGTAATTACTGAGCAATCCATTTCTGCCTTTAGGCCTGGCATAGGATTCCTGCATGCCTATTTATTTTCTAGCTAATTTGGTTCCTTTACATCATGTGACCTTCAATGATCCATATGCAATATGGGAATTATCCTAGCAGGACTTTCTTCAGAAGGTTCACAGAGGTGTGCTAAGCATAAGTAATACATCAGTTTTTAAATCCAAGTGGAATGAGTCCATATCATATGTCCCAGGAAAACCTGTAATGCTATAAGAGAACCAAAGAGCTTCTTTGCCATTTTCTGTAGGAAAATGCCTCACCACGTACGTCTTTTTCTATGCATTCTACAGTAGGATATTTATGGGGTGGCAGAAAGACACTAAAAATGTACCCAGGCTGTTTTAGCTCATATTTATTAACTGTTTAATACAAGCCAGGAGCTGTGCCAAGGCCTTCACCTGCTTTGTTTAATTTTTTCTCAGATCCTGGGGGGTTCTTTATTTCAGTTCTGTAGATAAGAAGCTAGAAGCCCAGAAACTGACAACTTCTCCAAGGTCACAGAGTCAGCATTCCAGGGCCAGTCTGCTGAGTCCAGAGCCTGGAGCTATAACCAGTGTCCTCTGGACTCCACGGCAGGCCCCTCTACCTCCTGGTCAAGAAGAGTTTTTTTTCCAGCATGTGTCATTCCAAGACAGCTCTCATAAGGTCTTATTCCTTTGGGCATTTTACACTATGATCTCTCATATGATCTCTTTTTATAAAATTATATTTATTAAAAAAATATGGTTCAAATATTCATCATGCACAGACCTGTAAGCCTTCTCTGTAACTTTTACATAGGAAAAAGTCCCATGGAGGAAAATAATTGTGTCCTCTTGAACTACATTTTTAGATTTTGATATAAAATGTCTCGAGTGGGTACAAATTACTGTCTTTTCCATTGAAAACAGACAGCGGCATTCCGTGCACTGCTGTCCACAGTGGACATGTTTCACACGGAGCTTGTTAGGTCCTCAAACACTCCTTAAACATCTAGACCGCACGCAGGAAGGGTGTGGAAACAAGGGCTTCCTGGGTGGCACAGTGGTAAAGAGGAGACACGGGTCATTGAGATTCCTAGATCGAGAAGATCCCCTGGAGTAGGAAATGCAATGTGCTCCAGTATTCTTGCCTGAAAAATTGCATGGACAGAGAAGTCTGGTGGGCTACAGTCCAGGGGGTCCCAAAGAATCGGATAAAACTGGTTGACCAGTGTAAGCGTGTGTGCGCACACACACACACACACACACACACACACACAGAAATAGGGCAGAAGAAGACATGGCCCTGGTTCTGCAGGACCTTAGAGCCCAGGAGTTCACCACTTTGAGGAATTAGCAGCCCACAGACAGGCCGTAGTATCAAGTCCACCAAAGCCCATAAAATCAGAAGTTCAAGACAAAAAGAAATTACAGCCACCTTGAAAAACATCAACTTGTTTTATTAGAAAAGGCTCTTGAAGGCCAATTTCTGCCCTCTGGCTTCTGTCCTTAGTGCTTGTTGACCATTATTGGAAGTCAGTCAGTTCAGCCACTCAGTCGCGTCCAACTCTTTTCGACCCCATGGACTGCAGCACACCAGGCCTCTCTGTCCATCACCAACTCCCAGAGTTTGCTCAAACTCATGTCCATCATGTTGGTGATGCCATACAACCATCTCATCCTCTGTGGTCCCCTTCTTCTCCTGCCTTCAACCTTTCCCAGTGTCAGGGTCTTTTCCAATGAGTCAGTTCTTTGCATCAGGTGGCCAAAGTATTGGAGCTTCGGCTCCAGCATCATTCCTTCCAATGAATTTTCAGGGCTGATCTCCTTTAGGATGGACTGGTTGGATCTCCTTGCACTTCAAGGGACTCTCCAACACCACAGTTCAAAAAGCATCAATTCTTCATCACTCAGCTTTCTTTATGGTCCAACTCTCACATCCATACATGACTACTGGAAAAACCATAGCTTTGATTAGACAAACCTTTGTCAACAAAAAGGACCAGGCCAAGAGTAAAGATAGAGGGAAGAAGCCACAGCTAACTTCAAAGGACAGAGCCAAAGAAACATGTGGGTTGCCTCTGAGCATCCAACAGCATGACTGAAAATGAATTAACTTTTGTTTCCAATGGACATTAAACCAGGGAACACGTGAATATGCTAAAAGAAACTGAAAGTCAAGCAACACAAACTTACCTGGTGAGCTGTCCCTCCACCCTCAGAAGCAGCCTCTCTGCCTTGGTTCCTGGGCTCCTCCAAAGGGAGCTGTGGGCATTCATAATGCATGGAGGTTTATCATACTCCAGCTTCTGGTCTGGGGCTTCCCCATGGCTCAGCGGGTAAAGACACTGGAGACGTAGGTTTAATCCCTGGATTCAGAAGATCCCCTGGAGAAGGAAATAGGAACCCACTCCAGTACTCTTGCCTGGGAAATCCCATGGATAGAGCAGCCTGGTGGGCTACAGTCCACGGAGTTGCGAAGAGTCGGAAACAACTCAACAACTAAGCACGCACGTGGCTTCTGATCTGAGCTAAGCGAAGCTTCAGGGCAAAGCTGAGCTGCCCAACCTGAAGGCCAGGCCACAGGGATGAGTCAGAAAAGCGCGAAATAGAAAGTTAAATCAGAGCGACCCGCTCCAGTCCTGGTCAACTCTGGGGCGGGCCTGTCATCCACTTGCAGGGTGCTGGGAACCAGACACTGGGAGGAAAGGGGGGGGGTCCAGCCCTCCACCCTCGTAGCTCAACTTACAGCCCTGCTATGCACGGCCCATCTTCTAGAGAGAAGTAAAGGATGCGCTGGGCAACCCAAGTGGATAGGGGAGAGATTATGGAAAATGCCAAGAAGGTTTGAGACGCTCACAAGGCCCAGTGGCTCTCCAGGGCTTCCTCGTGGGGTGCTAGGGCAGGTGCTGATCGGTGGGACCGGGCTCAGTGGTGAGAAGAGAAGCTTTTTAATGTCTGCTCCCAAAACCACTCTCCCAGCATCTCAGAAACACCCAGCTGGTGTGCATCCTCCAGGACAGCCCACCCAGTTACTTATCTCTGTATTCCACGATATACTTATAAAGCAATGAACAGTCCACGGAACTAAGTCTGGGCGTCTGTCTGGCCAAAGGCATCGCCCCCGCCGGCACCCTCGGCGGGGAAGGCCGGGTAGAAGCGGGCTGCAGACTTCCGAGCCTCAATTCGCCTCCCTCTGCCACCTCCCCTTCACCCCTCCCTCTCCCGCCCCTCCCCCGGTTATTTGGGAGATTCGAGTTCATTAATTAAATCCTGTGCTTAGATCGAACTGTAACATTATTCCAATCACATTTGTCTTGCAGGCGGCAGAGGAGACGGCAGCCTCGCTGGAAACGCGCGGGGGAGCCTGAGCCGGCGGCCGGAGACGCACGGCGCGCCGTTTCAGCGCCGCGGCGCCGCGCAGACCCTCCGTCTCCCTGCTCAGCCTCGCGGGCCCGCTCTCCCCTGCCTCCGGGGCCCGGCTTCTCTCTGGGGCTCCTGCCCGCCCCTACCTCCGGGCCCCTGCGCGGCTCCCCAGCCCGGTCCCCCTCCCCCCGGCACATACGCTGACACGCGCGCGCGAACACACACACTCACACACACACTGACACGCCAGCGAGCTGCTGGCCGCTCAATGGACCGATTTCCCCGCTTTTCCTGATCCCAAGCCGGCCCGGGATGAGAAATTGCAAAATGGCCCGGGTCGCCAGTGTGCTGGGGCTGGTCATGCTCAGCGTCGCCCTGCTGATTTTATCGCTCATCAGCTACGTGTCCCTGAAAAAGGAGAGCATCTTCACCACTCCCAAGTACGCCAACCCGGGGGCGCCCCGAATGTACATGCTCCACGCGGGATTCCGGTGAGTGCGGGGCCTCTGGGCGCCGGCGGGTTATCTGGTTTATGGGGGCGGGAGGTCGGGGGGTGGGGGGA